CCTTTCAAGAAAAATGATTCGAAGAACAGTTGAACCGCGAGACGGATGAGATTAGATTGAATTTTTGCGACAAATGACTCAAGTGTGCAATCAAAAGACGACTTCTAAATTGTAAAATAATATCCTGTGAGGCGGATTGGATTGCATATAATGATCTAATAATAATTTCGATAAGTAAACTATTTTACGGTAAAAATAGCAATGCTGATATGAATAAACCTTATGCACTGATGATTGGTACGAAAAGAGCGATGACACAGAAGGGCAAAGAGCGTAGAAACAGCCAGAGGTTATTACAGCTCAACGAACCAACTACACCAGTAAAATGGGTTCAACGAAAAAATAACAAATGTTTGCAGATAACAGAACACAGTTAGCAGTAGCGAGAGTATATGCAAACTCGAATCAATCCCTAAAATACATTTAAAAAGTCAAGCCTGAAAATAGCCTATAAAATAAAGTAAATATGGAAATAATTTTATGGTAATGAGGGTGATAATTTTTGTAAGTAAATTATGGAAGCGCAAACACAACAACATTCGACAGCACGCTCTTAGCATATGAATGGGATGTTATGGCGATATAATAAAAAGGTATTTTGAATACGGATGATAAGCTGAAATGTTGAACAATAAGGCGGGTAAGTTCCTGAACACGCTTTTTCAAGCCGCACTATTTTAAAAAGTCTGCATAACACGATAAAAATTCCCTTTCCTAAGGAACAGAAAGATCGGATGGCAGAAACTTCATACTCAATCAAAGCTTTAACTGTCCAAAACTGACTGAATTACCACCATTCAGATTCTTTTAATCGTGGGTTGTGATTGCCTAATATAACTTTGTCATTTGCTTTTTCTGTAATGACTGATTCCTGCTCTTTTTCTGTGTCATCACAAGGGGAAACATTATTTTAAGAGTCTTTAGAGAGTTCCTTTTACTCTGGTGTGGTGTGATGAAATGTCTGTTTGTTGTTCGGCTTAGTTGTGTCCAGCCGGATGTGACATTATGAAGATACGGTATGGGGATATAAATGATACCGCTGGGTGCAATGCGAAAGAGATCAGAGAAACAATGCCAACACCAAAAAGGATTGGTTAAATAGAGCTGGGACGGTATGAATGGTGTCTTCATATTGGGATGGGCAGTGATGAAATACCACAGAGGCGAAGTTGATTTTCGCATCTCCTGGTGATAGACCAAAAATAGAAACAAGAGCCTTAAATGGTTATTTTTCCATCTTGACTATGTTAAAAACAATCTTTAGACACAGAGGCGAAGTTGCACTTCGCATACACAAGCAAAAATATGACCGCAACGCTACAGGGAAAAAAAGAGCAAAACTTTGAGTCTACAAAATTTCTTAAGTGACGCACGCCAATTTTGAGTCTACATAATTGCAAAGTGACGCGAGCCAATTATGACGCATTAGCAGTATCAGTCAATTTGAAAAAAAATTTACCAATTAACATGCCTCAATTTATAGAGCGGAAGCATTTTAACTAGTATACAAAAAAAGTTCATTAAAAACATGCGACCCTGCAGAGGTTCGAACCCTCTTATTTTGCTGCTGGTCTCCTTCCCTACCTCTACGCTACAGAATCATAACACCTTGAAGCTAAAGTGCTATTTGTAATACAATAGTGTGTGTTAAAATCATTAGCATTTGCTGTACTTAATCGCTGGTTATTGATCTTATGCATATACTGCAATAAAAGAGCACTTTCAAAAAAGAGCACTAATATTTGCGACTTAGGATGGAAAAAAATGAGTTCGTAATATCACACAAGCTTCGCTTGTGTAAAACTATTTGATCATTAATTTCAAGTAAAACAAATATCAGATCCAATTCACAAACTTTTCTCGACATCACTTATTGGATTTTTTGGAATCCGAATCACGACTAATAATGCTCTAATACGATGCTAAAATTGACTCCTGGTGAGCTTCTTTTGAGGCATAGAATGATACACAAAATTCAGCTATAAATCACCCTGAGCCATAGTTTTTCCCACCGCCTTGGGTTTCGGAAAAACAACATAACTAAATTTCATTTGACAAACAACCAAGAGGCGAAAGAATCATTCGTGAAAAAACTGTAACCAGTTGATATAATGATATAGGCAACTTGCCCAAAGATGATGCAGAGTCGTGCACCAGTTTCGATAGAACAAGCATAGCATTGCAACCTATCCGAAAGAAAACGAGACTGATGCCATCATGAAATGACTTTGGGCAACCAAAAATTGGTGCCAGAACTATCAACCTCAAAAGTAATACCGGACATTTTTAGCAAAAAAATTCAGTATGAAAGTGGACATAATTAAAACCGACAGCCAATAAGCTAAAACTCAGCTAAAAATTTTCGTCAAAAAAACATATTGGAAAAAATTGCATGTTAGCAGGCTGCCCACTTCGTTCAGAAAAGTTTAGAGACTAACACTGATGACACGTTACATGCTACTCTGAGTAAGAATTGGGAGTTCAAAAATGTCAATTATTGAAAAACGCATCAAAAATGGCACTAGATTGAACATGTGTGCCCACTTTGCTTGTGCGAATTTCAATGCCTCTTCAGCTTTACGAATTTCGGCGTCTGCTTTCACTAGTTCATTCTGAGTTGGACGCTTGTAAACGCCTTTTTTCAGAGAATATTCTGCGGACTTTACGGCGCGAACTTCCTTGAGTGATCGTCCTTCTCTTTCATCTTGTTTACCGTTTGCACTGGCCTCGGAATCGACTTCAGCAGTGAGCTTAGTGGTATGAAAGTTTCAAAGTCATTTCGATCGAAGAAATCGTTGACTAGCCTGTGGAAAAAATCACAATATTATTTGAACAAGAAGCGACATTTAAAAAAAAATTAGTAAACTCAATGAAATTACCACAGATAATTGTACGACACAGTGATAAACTAGCTTGATGGTGGTCCTCGACTGACTTCATTCGCGAGAATCCCGATTCAACTTTCATATTGTGAGGCAAGATAACTTCAATGCATTGAACTACTTTGGCCAAATCTGAGGACAGTTTGCCTTCTCGACATAGCTTGCCTTGATCGTTTCGCACGTGCCTTGATCGTTTCTTCGTCCATTGCTGCGGCCATAACAGAAACAATTGAAGTATTGCTCAGCCCAGTTGCAACTTTCTCTTTAAGCATTTTTTGGTTTTCGTGCTTTTTCAGCTTGGCAAAACCAGACTTGATGCGTATCTGGGATTCATCGAGAGAACACTTGACCTTAGTCGAATCGCCCATGACGGGTAGGGCCCATGCATAGGTTTGTTGCAGGTCAGAACTGTAGCGGCACGGCATCTCACTCAAATCTGAAAAATGTCAATTTTGAGACACCTTGAAAAATGCTGAAAGAATAGGAAGTTTTTATACACTATATACGACCACTATATACTATCTATGAAAAAAAATAGTTACCTTTAGAGCCTTCTGAAAAAAACGAGACCAATTAGAGACTAGCCTTTAAAATAGAGACCAAGTGGGCAGCCTGCATGTTACGCTCACATAGGATCTACGATAGCTATACAAGAAGTTTATGTAACGCGGACTACAAAATTTGGAACCTAAACCACCAGCGCTTCACTCGACAACAATGAAGGCAAAAAATCACCAGCAGAAAATAATTATGGAAATATATATTTATACATAGATTGATTTTGAGTTCTAGATAGTACCAGTAGCAGATAGTTTCCAGTAATTTGAATTTTCATGAAATTGAGCATGTCAACAAAATTGCACTTAGCGCTCATTAATTTAGATGAGGTAAGCGAGCTCAATTACGTCATGCTTGTAAATTTGGTCGAAATATTTTAGGCAATCGCCAGTCGACCCTTCTGGTTTCCATCCATGAGCATTTGAATTTTTTTATTCTGCTGCGAACTCAGAAATTTATTGTTTATTTTTGAAAGTGCCAGTTCATTTTTTAAACTTTTTTGTGACCTTTACTTTTTGCTGCTCGATAGTGGTGTGCCTTCCTTTTAACAAAGGAAAATAAATGAACTTAAAAAGAAATCAAAAAGTCAAACCGCGAAAAAAAACGAATCTAAGCGTGCACAAATTTCAAGACATTTTACTGAAAAAAAACTAGCAAAAAATCAGCGAGACCTATAAATAAAAGCAGGGGCGGATCTAGGATTTTCTCGAGGGGGGGGGGGGCGGATTTTCAAAAAATTTTCCAAAATTTTGACGACCTTTTTTTTTTTTTTAGGTCGACCAAATTGATTTTTCGAGCTCTCCCAAAGCACTGTTTTGCCGCAATTTTGGCAAAATTTTCTGCGCCGCAGGCAAATTTTTGAAAAAACAGTCAAAAAAGCCGTTTTTGGGCACTTTTTGATAAATTTAAAAATTTTGACAAAAAATAGCGTTTTTTTTTGGCGCGCGCTCCCCCTCAAAGTTAGTATATATTGGCGCCGAAGGCGCCTTTAGAAAAATTTTAGGGTCGGTCTGCCAAAAATGGATTTCTGAAAAAGTATCAAAGGGGGGACCCTTTGGGTCGGCAGGGGGTCGAATCCCTGAGGGGGGGGGGCGTCCGCCCCCCCCCTAAATCCGCCCCTGAATAAAAGTCACTTCGTTCTATTATACTTGAGAACTGACAAAAATTGAACAAATCGGAATAATACTTTTTCTTTTCCGCCTGGAAATCTAAAAATTATAGTACTCTTTTGACACTAGAAACAAACGTTTTGTCGCGCCATTAGAGCTTCGTCGGCGGCAAGCGTAATTTGCTTTCTAACTAAGAAATGAATGTGAAGTGAAAGAAATCAGAAGAAACACTTGAGTGAACTTTTGAGCCGTATCTCAGAAAAAAAATGTCTTTCTGACCTAAACAAATGTCTTCATTTCGTTCATTCAAAATCACGACCAAAATAAGTCCTTTCATTTCCTTCATAGGCACTTAGAAAGCAGTTCGGTGTCATGTGTAACAAATATCCTCTTTTAATCTCCTGAAACTTTCATTCACTGTATAGAATTTCATGGGTAGAGAAAAAAAACGTAAAATACAAAATTAATTCTATTTCTTAAACTATTTATCGAAACGAATAGCACCGATAATGTTATTAGGTGGCTAAGCAAAAACATGGTTGCCATTAATCAAAGCTTCATTTATCGTGGACCTTCGATATTCTATTCTGACATTGTCCGGTTGCTGATTAGTTAGTAACCAGGAGTATATTCATCGCAAATCTTTCACTTTCAGATCCATTTAACAAAATAGTCTAATATAACTGAAGACTCGTTGGAATTAGAATGGACATTACTAGTTTGGCAGCTAGTACACTCAGTTTTCATTCCGGCTCCAAGATTGTGATGCTGAATTCTGAACGTGTACACGGCAGGATTCAAGTCAAGATTCACAACGAGAGTCTCACAAATCAGTTCTCGCTTCCTCGCAGCTTCTCTGACTCTGACAGGTGACATTTTACGACCATTTGACAAAACTATTGCAACATCATCTTGAAGCGCAGGATGCCGACTTGAACTCGGACTGTTCCGCACTCTCAAGCAAACTCTCACAGCATCAAAACTTTTCCCATGTTCGTATTCGGAGTTCGCATTTTGGTTCGAGTTCTGTTCTTGGAGAGTCATCTTCGGCTGTCTACCCGAATTTTCATCTTCGTTTCGATCGAAGGAGCTCAGCAACTCATTAGGCGCTGAGCTTCTCGATGCTAGTAAGTTCGAGAGTGACTTGTCCCCTGGTGTGCTACTGCTGTAATGGTGTGTGAAGATGGAGGGCTTTGGTCTGACTGATAGATGGATCTGTCCTCTCGGGTACATCCATTGTACCGTGCCCTCGGAACATTCGAGTGCCGCTACTTGCACTGTGTGTCTCCTGTTGTCTTGAGTCTCGTCAGATCTGAAAAAAAAACAAGCAAGTTAGAATAAAAACACATTTCGACAGACTAGATACTTTCTATTTTTAATTTAAAAGCGACAAAGCGTTGGATCTTAACGCTACTTGCTGAATTTATTTAATCTCTCAAAATCTTCAATCATTGTTTCTAGACTAGCTAATATAAACAAAAAAACACAATCGACCCTGAACCTGATAGTAACAGAATATTCAAGAAAGAGTTGACTAACAAGAAGAAACTTCAGTGGCAGATAAATAAACTCTCATGATTATTTACCGTATAGTTTCCACACCACATCGAACGGTTTTTCTTACTTCGAAAGGAAAAACGAGTTAGTATTTTAATGTCCCAAGCGAACGAACGATATTCAAACATTAGCAATATATACCATCAATTCAATTGTTTACAATCATGTTAATGCGTACAATCAGATCCAGGTACCTTGAGCAGACGGAGTTTTTTTATAGCCGATTCGCTGATATCAACAAATTCAAAAACAAACAGCAACCTAGATCGAAGTTGCAGCTCATCACAGGACGGATGATCGAGAACCATGCATCAGATCATCGCATTTCGATTTGCTTCAATGACTTCGTATCAAAATGTTTACAAGCTCTTGTAGTTGGCCTCCCACTAAGTTTTCAGCAGTGATAGGCGCCACTTCAAATACTATCTGCCACTTCAAATACTATCTGCCACAGCAAGACAGATCAGAATAATCTAGGTCTGGTGGGATCTTTTTACCTTCATGTATCTCGCCCAAACTCGCAGATCATCAACGGATGGACAAAAAAAAATATTGTATGAAAATACTAGCATCTGATTGATTGAACATACTATAAATACGAAGATCAATATTTTGATACAGTGCTGAAAAATAAGCCAAGTAAAAATGCGTAAGGTGCCCAACAATGAATACCTGGACTATCCTTGCCCACATTTAACAAAGATAGAAACTGGAAGTTAAAAATCAGAGGAAAAAATCAGCCTCAGTATCAACCTGATCCTCTCAAACAGGTTTCTACCAAGGGGACTAGGATCATATCAAGATTTTTCGCACGGGCGACGGCGGTTCTTTAAAATTTAAAAAAAATAGCAACTTTCTTTTTAGAGCAATTTGATCAATTTGTCCAATTTGATTTCAGAAAGTAGGCTATTCAGTCAAAAAATTTTGCACCGCTCCTAGATTATGAAGAGGCCAACTTCTTGAACTCTATTGCGAATATTAGACAAGATCGTGGTCTCATTTTCGAGTATTCGGATAAATTCTTAAACCAAGAAAAATTTGTAGTCACTTTTGTGTTTCCCAAAATAGTTTTGTCCATCTTCTAAGATTTAACTGCCTCTTGCTACCTGTCTGTTTCTTCTGTCGACATATTCGATGTTTACAAGCTGGCTTTTGCAAGACTTCTGCATTCCTTTCAGATGCGCTTGGGCCAGAACAAAGGGAGTGTGTGGGAATTAGAATGTTAAGGTGTTGTTTTTGTTTTGATATTTATTTGATGTATGGCACTAGGCCAGCGTTATCCCTCAAACGAGCGCAACCTAATATTTCAAAATTCTCCCTCATCTCCCAAATCAAATCTCAAACTGGAATCTTGTTACAGTTAAGAGCCGCAAAATCATTGTCTGCTTGAAAAACTCGTGCAAAGCCCCCCAAAAAATAACAAACTAGCTTCCTTTAAGATAATTTTTTTTATATCGAATACATGTATACTAACAAAGAAATGAAAATCTGGAATTGAGCTACTGATTCAAAAAAGTCTGACAGTTCAGAAATGACATCTAACAATCAGGTAAAACCGCAAGCCACAAAATGCTATATGACCCAGCCAGTCCCCATTTTGGATGTGGGGGATACTTTGATCGAATCCAATGCCTATTACAGTCTCATCCATTGCCACTTTTTAGTCATATGAACTACCTTTTAAAGGATTATTTTTAAATAGTAATGCAACAACATATATGAACAGAACGGAACTATTAAATAGTTACATTAAATTGCTTTAGCATCTCTGTAACCAGAACAGATCGAAGACCCCGACTTCTCAATAATTGCTTGATACTCAATTAGGAAAAAAAGTTGTTATTGTAGCACAAAATTGGAATGACGTGGAATGAGAGCAGAGCTGAACTCTTGAATATAATTCAACGTATTGAATGAAATAGAAATTCCTCAACATACACACAACACACTCAATCGTGCTAAGGTGTTCAATTGCGACTACAGCAATGGAATCCATCACGAGGAATGACTATCAGGATGAACTTGCCTCACGTGAGACACTTCACGCATTGCAACACCTCTGAGACACTCAACATTAAAAACGGATTGAAAAGAAGACCATAAGTTGTTCACGTTGAATCAAAATAAAAGACATGATCAAATTACGACAAAAAAACAGGTGCTAAAATCTTGGAAACTTTTTGAAGGTCTGTTTGGTGATTAAGCAGAGATATATTTCCATGCTTTTAAGAATTCTACAAAGAACTCATTTGGTTCGTGTTTGCTCAGGGTTGGTTAGTGGTTAACAATGGCAAGGTGGCATGGCTAAGGTCTCCATCATGATTCGTGCTCGCTGCTTGCGTGCCAGGCCAAAATTATCAGCCCGAAAATAACTTAAAAATTGCATGCAGCTGTTTAGCGGTTATCAACAACCGCGATTCTCCATAAAGAGCTAAACAACCGCTACTTTGGTCTGATCCCTCGTAAATAAATGTCTTAATACTTAGAATTGTAGCCATTGATTGATCTACAAACAGACTTTGTAAACACCGTACTGATATCATACCCCGTTACTTAATCCCAAATACTGGCAGCTTTTTATATTATATGTTCTCAAAATAACTATGAAACAAACGCTAAAATTTAAACTCAAAACTAAAGAGATGATCCACATGTATAAGATAAAAAAAGGCCTTGCAACACGTTAGTTGATTTAGTTTAAATCAAATTTCCGGACCCGAACAAACTATTCAAATAACGCCATTCAAACAATGCAACTTACACGACAACCGAAGAACAGGCTGGTCCAGTCAACACTTCTTTAACCACTCTTGATGTACTTTCAGACAGTTGACTAGGCAGGTAATGTGGTAAAGATCTAGCACAGACAGTCGATATAAGACAATTAATCACTAATATAGCTAGGAAAACAGACCAAAAATTGGTACAAATCGAACTCATTTGTACGAAAAATTTAAGGCCAAGGTTTTTGCTAATGGAAGAATTCAATAATTTAACATGAAACTTATAAGACCAAATGATTTACAATTTATGTGGGTCCTCAAATAACCTATCTTGACAAGAACGTCAGATATGGAGACACAAAATGAAATTCTGTTTCAGTTTCGACAGATTTCCTCCGTTAAAAATCTAGCCAGACAGTAAATTGGAATGAATTCGGTAGATGCTGGCGCAATTAAATTTAAGAGGTACTTTAATCAGAACAATTAATTCGAGGAAAGACCCGATATATTGAATCAATCAACAAAAATTATTTCCCACAAGCCTATTTCTATAGATCAAAAGAGGAAAAAATAAACAATAACAAAAAAAGATGAGTCTTTTCTATCAAGTTAGATAAAATCTTTTTCGCATAAGCATGACATAACCTGTTTAAATATGCTGCTATTAGTTAGTAATGTTCTTTATCCAATCAGAATTAAGAGTGTAATTTCAGTCCCCGTCTTTTCAACACCACCCCGCAACATGCATATTAGCGGCTTAACTAATCAACACGGAATGAGAAATAAAAAATCTTGATCATCAGATGCATTTCCGATTTCCCTTCAGACAAAAACTGCTGTTTGCAAAGTTAACGGCGTTTACCAAAGAGATACGAATAAAATCTGTAAGTGGGAACCAACAAATTACGATTTTCTTGTTCGAATGCGAAATGCCTTTAGACAACATTTTTAATCTCAAAAAAAACTTTTCTGCTTTCACGCCAGATCAGTGCATGAAAAATTGATGAAATACTTTTTCTTATTTAAAAAAAGCAATATCTAAGACACATTATAGGGTAATATAATGGCTCACTTGGCTAACAGGTATTATAATACAAACTCCAAAGTCACTTACATGATTTCTCAATATGCGAGAAATTGACACCAGCCTAACCGAGTTGAAAAGCAGGCTAACCGATTTGACACGCAGACTACTCGAGTTTCTCAACACAAAAGTATAAATCTCAACTGTTTTAAAAATTGGAAAAATTACACACCGCCGCCTAGATGAGCCCCACTGATTTTGATGCAAGAATATACACAGAGATGAAGTCGAGCTTCGCACTACTTTCGAGACAAAATAAGAGAGAGACTACATCGAAAAAATTCGAAATTGCCCAAAAAATTAGTCTATCAAAACGAAAAATGCAAGTTTTGAAAAATGTATATGCCAAGACATAAGGTAAAATTAGCATCGAAAAAAAAAACTTTCCAAGCGGCAAAAAAGCCGAAAGTACCGAGACAGAAACCCTTAAAGCCGAAAAAGCATTCAAAAAGAAACAAAAAAATAGCAAGTCCCCCTAGTCCCCATAACACAGACACATAAAAAAAACTTTGTTTGCAACTTGAACACACGAATACAAAATTCCTTCGCATTTTTAAAAAGGTCGGACAAAAAGGCTAATTGAAATTAATTAGCTTTGTTGGTGAATATTTTCTTTCTACAACTCTGACATTACCCAAGTCCTGTAAACCACTCCTATTCGATCAACCTCACAAGACAAAATTCTTCTAGTATACAGAGCATTCTCCCAAAAGAGATACGACAAAGTTGACACCAGCACCTAGCGACTTCTATGTAGCTGCAGCACATTCCAAGAAACGAAAAACAATGAACTACTTTAAATTCAATTGAAAAACTATTAGAACATGTCAATAAAGGGGTCCTTACCAAACCCTGGACTCAATGCCCTAAATCCTTTATTATGATTATTACTCGATGAAACAAATATCATTGCAACATAATTTTAAACGTTTGATCCAGTCCTTGCTATTCCAACTTCTGCGGGAAAACATCATAAAAGATAGATCTACTCAAAAAACCTAATACACAGCGAGTCTGATCAATCTCATAGCACCAAACAACTTCCATTCGATCAAAATAGACAACTTCTTTGTAAAAGTGGACTGTTTCATCGCAGTAAAGGGTATTCCCTTCAAAATATGTTCTGCTAGAAAACCCTTTTTAGAAGTTATTGCAAAAACTGACTGATATACTCAAAGGAACATTTCAAAATCCACGTTGAACAGCGCCCGATCCTCATTCGACCAAAACATCAACTAGTAGTTTTCAAGAATATTCAAAAAGTTTTTAAAAAAGTACGGTCCAAATCAAAAAATTTACTTTCCAGAGGGCGATAACTTCTTGTGTAAAAGTTTTTGTCAGGGTCCGCTAATGCAGAGGAGCTTCCCATTACCTGTTATCTCATTGAAATAACAAAACAGATTTGAGAGGTTGGTTTCCGAGAAAATTGACTATTCCGAGTGCCAAAACTTTGTGTGCAAAAAAAATGGTCGTTGCCACTTATGCAGGGGAGCTTGTCGAAACAGTTCTATCCATTGAAACCATAAACTCATATTTGGAAAAGGTAGTTTTCGAGAAAACCAAAAAAAAATCAAAAATATGGGTCAGATATTCCCCACTACTTTTTCGAAGGCTGTAGACAGAGGGGTCAAAGAAAAAAATACTCTAGAGGAGGCAAAGAGTATGCAGGCACAGAGAGGAGTAAGCGGTCTTTCAGTTGATACACTTTTTTGAAAATCAGTAGTTTCTGAGAAAAACTAAAATTTTTGCAAAAAGTGAAAAAAATTTCCAAAACGAAATTTCAACAGACAGATTGGTAAACATACAACCAATTTGAAAAGTACGGAGGTGAGTGCTAACATTGTGTTGATCTTGAAAAGTCCCAAAATTGAGTTATTAAACCGATGAAAAAATAGGCCGAAATACTTTTGACCGAAGAATTTTTTTTAGCGAAACAAAAAGTAAATACGAAGTCAGGGTAACGAAAATTACAAAATATAGGCATAAAATCAAACACTAAAAACAATATTAAAAAATGCGCGTAGAAAACAAACAATTCCAAGATGTGACAACTAAGCCGACAATAGATAAGCAGACAAATAATTGACCGATAATTTTTTTTCGAAACAGAATATTTCCCGTTTGAAACAAAAAAAAACAGGTCCTGGTCAGACCCGAACCCACGACCTTTACCAACCCAGGCTTATTCGTTACCTACCTGCTACGCTAGCCAGGAATGCTAAGAAACTTGAATAATGAAACAAGGTAGAAATGATTCCGGACATCCAGATGAGTCCTGTGGACAAAGTTACCGACGCGAAAAATCTCATAGCCGGTTGCAATACCCCTGCTTATTGTAACAGTCGCCTACTTCGGTCACATATAAGGCTTAACAAAAAATAGGCCCTATAACCATTGGCTCAAGAGTCAGGGACACTATCTCTTGTGTTTTTCTACCTCAAAAACGTTCGGAGCCAATTCGGTTCGCTTGCGACATGAGACTAGAACCCGTTACAGCTTAAAGGCTACTACCAAAATATCCCCCCACTCTAGAAAATAAGAACGTTCCCATACTTAGGTCTCCAGATACCCAAAATACACGAACGCCGTTAAAAACAGGGTCGGAACAATCCGTTAAGTTACTTTTTATTAGACAGTGGAACTTTGATCCATTTCAGATGGATCAACCTAAAACTCGCCTTATCTCAACATAACAATCATAAAACACACTCGAGAAAACTAAATTTGGTATTTACATAGTAGCACGCTTGAGAAACAGAGTAATTAAACTAATTAAAGACTCTGGCATAAATATAATCAAATATAACTCAAGAAGTTTTCCAACGATGAGTTCCAATCAAAGGAAATAAGTTTTAACTCAAGAATATAGTTTTGGATCTGGACCATTGGGAGACTTCACTTGTCCGCCTTTCCGTTGAAGGTTCACACTGGTCCAGTTGATTTTTGCTCTGCTCTCGTATCTGTTCTGTCTCCTATATCAGATAGGATAGCTCTACTCTAGTTTTCTACGATGGAAATTGCGAATAGCAACTTCCCACTTCATATGTTTGACAACTTTCCCGCAATTGTTAATTCGGTCGCTCTGTTTTCTTATTTGATGTTTTCAGTTGTCGCGAGAAAACTGAGCATGACAGGCTCCATTCGAATTTTGAAAAATAAAACTTCACTCCAAAATCACGTATATTCGTGTCCCTCAATGTCAAACTTCTAGATATGACCGACTGGCACATACTCCCCGGACTCAAGATCGATGTCCTCATCGCGTGCTGCCGGCTGTCAGTGAATCCCCAGAAACCCGAGTGTTACTCAAGATACAGTGCCAGTGGTCATTAACAGAAGTTTGCAGCAGACTTAAGTTTATCTACACCCCAAAATTCACAACCATGTAAAATTTTCACACTATCGCTAAACAGCAATCAAAATCTGCACACACCTGCACCTGTGAATTTTTGCTTTTTAAGCTAGTAATTCAAAATTTCTTTTGTCCTAGCCAATCAGGAAATTGTCATGCAGCATTTTGATTTATATAATAGATATAACATATTAATAAAAATATCTCATTTGATAAAATTTCTTTTTGGTGAACCCAGATTTCATCCGAGTTCACCCTCGAGCCCCCTTCCCTCTCAAGACTCAAGACTCTAGAATTTCCTTTTGAGCCACCGGAATTCTAGAGTCTTACGAACGACTTGATTTCCTCCACATCCCAGATCAGGCAGAGATTCGCGTGATCCGGGTACCAGACCCAGATGTATTTGACACCGTGATCTGTTTCAATAGTGCCTCTTCATCATCAGAGCTGATCACGATCTCCTCCCAAGCCTTCAGCTGTTCATAGAATCGCATCCACTCCCTTTGCTCCTGCAATCTCTTCGCTTGATTGGGTAAACTCTTCACCCTCGACTCTCGGTTCAAACAGAAGGAATTGTGAAGACTCATGCTCACATTCTTCGCCAGGTCTTCCTCTAGTATCGACTCCCTCGCTCTGGTGTTGTTTCTAGATACTCTACCAACTCTTTTCCACCCCGTCGTGATCGCATTTCGATGGGTCAGCAGAGGTCTCTTGAAGGCCTCCGGTCCTATCTCGGCCTGGAACTGTCGATATTCCTTTTGATACTTCCTCATATGATCCTTCGTTACCATGTATAACCAGGACGTTAACGTCGCTCGAAACCAAGGAGAGAACCGTAAGCGCCTCCATACGTGTCTGACTTCCATTGGTATGGCGAACACCTTGCATGCGGTCTCAAACAGCTCAAGTCTCCTGCTGTAATCTATCGCGTAAATCGACTCTGCCGTTGGCGTCTTCGATTCCCAATACTTTGCTACATTTTCTTCAATCCATCGTAGGGCCAGCATCGTGCTCACCACCAAGATGGTCACCTTTTGCTGATGATCGGGCAGTCCCAACGACCTGATTTCCTCCACATCCCAGATCAGGCAGAGATTCGCGTGATCCGGGTACCACACTGTTTGTGCCAGACAGTGGCATGGACAATCCCCATGTGTGAGGTCGATGCTCCTAAGATTGCGTTCTCCCGAGGCTTCTAGGAGAGGCTCAAGTTCCATCATTTTCTCGTGTATCGCGTCGATCTCTTCCAGGTTTGGAGCACCAACCATAGGTTTCCCGATCACGTTTTGTCTCTCGTGGTCACTTGTGTTTTCACCTTCCAAACCCAGAAGTTCTTCCCCCCAGATTTCACTCAAGTCGTCCCTCTGTTCTTTCGGCACTGTCCCTCGGATTTTCCTCAACAGCTTTTGTGAGTGATG